CCTCCTAAGCTCACGTGGAGCTGTTACTAAACCAAAAACCTGAGTTTTGCAGTCTTTTTCTCCTTCACCAAATCCACCTTTCCAAATAAAATTCTCTTTAAAAATTGTAATTGCCAGATAAAAAGTTGTTTCAAGAGAGAATCATGTTAAGAAATACTCCCGTTCTATAACACAGACAGCTACAGAACAGAAAAAAACACGAGACAGTAAGATAGACCATAACTGTGTGTGTGGAGAAGCCACAGGATAATCTCTGGGTAAGAAACGCCCGCTCCATTACAACCAGTGAACTAGTTAATCTCATCCATTCGCAAATGCAGGTCCAAGCTTAACCACCTAGAAACACAGGAGGGAAAATGTCCAACTTCACCTTAAGGGACTTAACACTTCTCTGGGGAAATAAAACAGACAGTCCTCCAACAAAGACGCTGAGGATGTCAGACCTTCCACGGATGAGACCCATGACTGCAGACGGGGTCCGTGGCCGTGATCTTGGCCCTCACTGGTCCTTCGTCGTGGAGTCCTGGGCCTTCCCCACTCGTGGGCGCTCTGCACGGGCTGTCTGACAGCGAGACAGGGACTAGCCCACTGCTACCGCTGCTTAGAAAGACGCTCCCACTGCAATGCATCATCTTGCCTGCCGCCTGCAGACCTGGTCCATCCTCAGCTCACTACCTGTCCCACTGTGTGTGGTCCTTGGAACCACCTTGGGGTTCTGTCTGCGTGCAGACAGGTGCTTGCTTCCCATCAGATTATCTTCTGGCCCAAACAGACATGATTCACAGACCTCCCTCAGCTCAAAATTCAAATAAACACACCATTCTAATTGGTGAAACCAGCCGCCACTTCTGGAACATCCTGCCCCCGTGAGGCACTGCAGCCCCGCCCGGTGCTGGCCTCCCTTGGAACCCGCAGAAGTGAAGCAGCTTTCTCAGGGTCACGTGGAACAGTGAGGCTCTAAATTAGAACCAGGTTCCAACTCCAGAACCCCCGCTCCTACGTGTGGGGTTATGCTGCCTCCACCGGCTGTGGGCAGCAGGGCTGGGGCTGCAGCTTTCCTGCCCAGAGCCCGCTGGATGGGCTGAGGCCAGGCTGCTCAGCACGGAGCCGGCAACGTTTTAAGTCCCCATCATCATCCCACCGTGGCATCATCGCACCGTGTCAGGTCACACACGGTAACCCCCTAATTCTGCGGTGCTGATGCCTTTGGGTTTCATCTTGTCTTCACTCAGCCTGAGTTGAGACACATACGAACCATGGTTTTTGTCAGGTCAGTATCCTGCCTCGGCGGAGCCTCAAAAGAAAAGGTCCACACACCTCCCGTCGCCTGTTACAATGGCTGTGAGGCGGTCAGCTTCTAGAAATGTCCCAGACACACCAGCAAAGATGAAGCTGCCGGGATGGTCAGAAGGAGCCCACGGCCAGCAATCACCCAGAATCAATTTCGTCTTTGGTTTTGGTCCTAATGATCATTTGTAAGTTGGATCTCTGGAATCTAAAACATTTCCATACAAACAACAACAACAAACAAGGTGGGGGTGGGGAGCCCCACTTCAGCTCACCCACGGTGCAGCTGAGAGCAGGACGTGAGGGACGGCGCTAGAAGTCAGCGGCACGTGGGCCTGCAGAGGACCAACCATAAGCTCGTTAAAGTCCTGCCTTATTTCTTATTCTAATTTTCTGTGGCCTCCCCCCACCCCATCAGACAGGAGAGAGGCTCTCAGGAAGGACACAGAAGAGTGGGGACACATTTCATAGCAAAAGGGGAGACACAGGGCTGGCTATGACCCAAAAGGCTATCCTAGGCTTTAAACAAAGGAAAAAAAGTAAAATGTAATCAAACCAGGATGTGTCACATAGCCGTGGCTCACTCTGGGTGACTAGAAACAAAACAGCCAAAGTATCAACATCTGGCAATTTTGAAATCACCTCACTTCTTCCTGGCCATGCTATTTCTTGGTGACATTAAAATATGCGGTTACGTCACCTAAGACATTAGAATCCATGGGACGAAACAGAGACGCCCCTGTCGTGCTGCACACAGCACAGCTCCCACACTTCGTTGTAACCTCAATCCACGCTGCCACGTTAAAACCACTCCTTATTCAACCACAAGACACAGGGGGAAATCCAGAAAACCCTGACCAAGGTCCCGTAGCAAAACACTCTACAGGTAGTTGCCACAGTCACACTTTCATGTTAAAGATGTTAATAGCTAATTGCTCTCAAGTTGCCTAATGTTCACCGTAACGCTGAGAATGGCGTTATCTACCATCTCTACCTGAAACCTCCACAGTCATATTAATAGACCCCAAGGCTCTCAAATCTTAACACCTCTCACTTTCACATTCCCTTTACTAAGAAACAAAGCACACATAACAATGTTAATAACCGCTCGTTTTATGAATGGCTGGTACATGACAGGCACTGGAGAAGGAACTACCATTAACCCCATTTTGTAAGTGAGGAAACCGAGGCACGGGGCTTAATTAACTCGCCCAAGGTTCCAAAGGTTGTCAAGTGTTGGAACCAAGCTGAAACTCAGGCCGTCTGCCTCCAGGGCTGCCGGCTGTAACCTTCACGCCGTGCAACCTGTCGAGCCTCCAGTTAGACATCTAAGGAGTCTTCACGCTGCTGTCATGTTATCTGACAGCTGTCCTCCTCGTGGCTCGTGAGGGACGAGTCTCTGACATCATTATGACAGGCCCACACGGGGGTCCGGAGAAGCCCACCTACCTTCCCTGTATTCCTCCCACTCTGGCTTCACACAATCTGATGCAAAATCCCCTCAAAAGACCCTAGATACAAAAAACAAAAAGGGGCCCTTCCTCGCTTTATGTCACCAGACGATTAGACGTTAAACGTGCAGACCAGAACCACTCGTTTTGCTCTGTCTGCCTGCGCACGACGTGGGGCGCCAGCCCAGTGCTGAGCTCGGAATCTATACTCAAGCACGTGCTCGTTTGTCAAAGTCAGGCTTGTAGTGGTCAGCGGCACGTTTCCTGTTTTACTGTGAGTTTTAATAGATTTTGGCATCACCCTTGTGGAACAGTCGTGGTGACACTGGTTTACGGTGCCCAACGTGTTGACAGCAGTCTGGCAGATTAACGCTATAAAAAGTGGCCCACTGTCTGCTTACATTAGGTCCAGGAGCCAAGCGGAGTCACGTTGAAATGCCTGATTCATGAGGCCATCGAGGCTGCTGTGTGTGCTCACAACGGAGCCACAAGGTGTGTCCGAGACAGCACCACGTGTGATTAGAGTGACATGCAACTGTGAAGTCATTCTGCCTAAGATTAGAGGCTTAAATTCCAATTTCAGGTGCATCCAGGCGATTTTCCTTTTGGTTCAATAAACAAAATTGAAAAACATAAGTGACTGCAAACTGAAGAATTTTTAAATTTTTTTACTCATTACTACATTTCATTGGTTCTAAGACCCCTTGTTTCTTGTTTTTTGTTTTTCACATTCCCCTAGACCAGAAATAGGGACCATCATACAATGGGTAACATCTCAGATTTGACAGAACACAACTACAAAATGCAGCTGCATACTTTCTGGAATCAATGCTTTACATTTCGTATTACCATCAACCTACGTATTCCTAATTAACTTTGGGGACAATGTTAACAATTTTGTCTCTGTCTTTCCTTTTCTTATCCTCCGGTTTGCCACAGAAGATACAATAAAGAACGTCTGAGATGAATGAATGGTCACATAACATAAGGAGACAAAAGCTTTGAAGCTGCCTTACTATACGTGCGAAGCTGCTGTCCTCCTTCTGGAGAAAACAGAGCTTGAAAGCTTCCCCAGGCTGCATGCAGCCCAAATGTGTTTCTTCTACAAGAAAGACACAGTTCCAAGGTGGGAGAGTTCCGGGCGCTAAAGTCTTCCCGCTAGCTCACGCCAACTCACCCCAAGACACAATGAGCCTTTTAACTCAAGCTCCAGTCTCGAGGGGTTTCTCCTCCACTTTCCCAATATCAAAATCATGCTCACACATTTAAACAATTAGGTGAGATGTGCAGAAGCTAGCACTGAAATCTGAGTGTTAAATCTGCAGTAAACAATAACCAAATTCAGATCTGATCTGTACAAATTTTTAAAAGATAATTCTTGTTTTCTTTGATTTTGGAAAACTTAGAAAATGACAGGACAAAATGTCACTGCAGGACAAAATTTCTTTGAGACAGAAAAAAATTAGCCAAATACTGCTGAGTGATCTAGAAAATGGGAAAACCCAAAGAGGCAAATGTTAGGGTATTTGTTTCAGTGATATAATGAGTTCAGATTACTTTACAAAGATTTCCCTGTCTGCACCACAAAACACTGAAAAGCTGTCACACTTCTTTTTTCCATGTAAGGTACATGACAGTTTCTTGGGGAAGTGGTGGTGGTTTTTCTTGATTATAAAAGTACCTTTCAGTACAAAATACAGAAAATATTTTAAAATACAAAGATTAAAATAAAAACAACCTGCACTCCAAATAACTAACATTCATGGATGGGTAACAATGCAACGAGAGCCGTGGGAGACATTCTGGACATGCTGCTATATTCATCCAAACAGGCTGAGGAGCTGAGCCCTGCTGACCCCACCCCTCAGCAGCTGGAGAAACCGCGTTTCAGGTAAGTTTAAAGCCTTGCCAGTCATCACAGGGCTCCTAAGTCACTTGTCCAAAGTCGCTCTGCCAGTGAGCAGTGAGCGGAGCAGGGGCGCAGACCAGATCCACTAACTCTGGGATCCGAGCTTTTAACTAAGTGTAGCCACCAGTCCCTGAAACTACTCATTTTTAGAACTGCTGTATTTTCCCCAGCCTTCTCCTAGGCTTATGATTTAATTTGCATAAAATTGGGGCCACAGCTAATACGTTGTTTTGTGCTCTGCTTTTTAACGTTTACGTTTTTCAAAAACGCGATCTGGAATGCCTGCGTCACATCTTAACATATGAACACAGCACAGATTCACTCATTCTCCATTTTTCACTGTCAGGAAGAAAACGCTGTAACCTCTTATTCATAACAGCTGATTGGATTTCAGATTTTCCCTTCGGATGGATGACTGATACAACTGTAATGGCCATTCATAAAGGTCTCGATACACATAATCTCCAATTACTTTCCAAGAAGGTCGTCCTTGCTGAACCTCAGACGGCGGTGAGTGTGCAAGTCTCACCACATTCTGTCAGGATCAAAAATATTTTTAAAATCTTTGCTAATTTGATAGGGAGGAAAAGTATCTCGATTTAATTTGCATTTTTATGACTCTGTAATCTGCAAATGTCCATGCTGTTGTTAAATTTTCTCTCTGTACCTGCTTACATCCTTGACTGCTTTTCTATCGGGCTGCTCTCCCGTACTGGCTCACGGAACACACGTGTGTGTCTTTTTAACAGATCCACATGCACACGGTGGAGTAGGTGAAATGTAAAACTCAAGGCCGGTTTTGCTAACATCAGCACACACACCCCCAAAAGACAACTGAACTACAGTGAACGGACCAGCTTCCATGTGCAGCACCACGCAGCCCTCTCTCAGCCCACAAACGACCACCGCGCTCTTCTGATCCTGAAAGAGCAGTATCCACAATTCCACAGAATTCTTCCCTGCGATGCTTACTGCACCCAGGCTGCAAGGACATTTACAAATATGAAGACAAACTACATGTGTGTATAGTTCCATCACCATTTTTATGAGACACTGACTTCACTTTCTTTCTAAAGGTTTAACGTGTTGTGTTGCTGTTTTTTGGCTTTGAGCTGCACAGGTTCATCGGTGCTGTAGCTTTATTCTGGAAGCTTTCAGAAGTGGTCTTCCTACCTGTTCATAAATCTTAGCCTCCTCAAATGTTTGCTATTTTTGGATCTAATCTAAGTTCAAAACATCAAACCTTGGTTCTCCTGAAAAGAGGCTTCGGAAGCCATTCCCCGCGCCGTGCCAGCCCCTGGGAAGAACCCGCTACTCACCCCGGCTCCCCAACCCTCCCGGGTCTCCCATCCCCGCTCCAGCTCTCCCTGCCCGGGTGCAGCTCCAGGCCTGCTGGCCGGGCTATTTCAACAGCCTCTGACTTTTTGCCTCTAGTTCCTCTTCAACTGCAATCCATCACATGCTGCCAAACTAACCTTTCAACTCCATTTCCATCTCATAATGCAAGTCAGGATCTCGCTAGGTCTGAACTTCCAATTTCGCCGTGGCCCACCCTCGACCTCTCTGTCCATCCCTGCCCCTTCCTCCCAGCCAACCCTGATCCTCCCCGAGCCCGAAACAGGGCTCCCGGCCATCCCAGGAGGCTGAGCAGAGCAGTGTGTGTCAGGGACCCCGCTCTCCCTGGGGGCGCGCCGGGCCAGCCGCCAGTTTCCTGCGGGGGCACTGGCCTCACAGCATCTCCGTGATTCTGCGTTATTTCTCAGTTCCTTCCACCTATCAAGAGAGCACAGGTCACCCCTGTTGTCTCCTCCTCCACCACCAAGCCCTCCACCGACAGCATCACACCTTTTTAGCCCTCAATTACACCCCGCGCTGTCCTGGTCCACACCGCCACATGTGTGCCGGCCTAAGCTTCCTAGCTGTGGTCAGCGTTTTCAGCATCTCCCGCAGAACTCAGCTCCCTGCACACAAGCACCCCTTCACAAACACTAAAGTAAAACCAAAAAGCCAGCAGGAATGTTCTAGAGATCTGCACACTCATAACTCTTATCTATCTTTGAAAAGAGTTAATAAAACAGCAGATTTGACAAGACACATCTATGTTTCTCCAAACCAAAAAGATCTCGTTGTAAGCCTGACAGAGAAACCACGTTTACCCTTCAGAGGTGGAAGTCTGAACACACCGCTGCATCTTCCCCAGTCGTGACCGGCCATGTCTTTGTATCCACTGAAGTCCTTCCTACAACTGACTTCATGTGAAAGCTCACTCTAACGTGAACTTGGAGAGGCCTGGTTCCTGAAACCTGCTCCCTGAATACCTGCCGGACCACGGGAGGCCTGGAGGGCAGGCATCTGTCCCAGTCCCGGTGCCACCAAACGGCTCCTCAGTGCAAACAGGATGCACTCCAGGGAAGCCTCACAGGTCACGCTCACTGCAGCAAGCAAAGCCCCCAAAAGGGTTTCAGTTGCTAGTTTAATATTTTCCCTCCGTCACAAGGTTATAATATGGATGTTAGCGAGCTAACCTGCACACCACTCGACTGCCCTGCGGTGCCTCTTAAGCAGCTAATCAGAAAACAGCTGCCCAGAGAAAACACCTTCCAATCGGAAGCCAGGAATGGTAACGGGGTTCGAGGAGGCCAGAGTAACTGTCACCTCTTCCCCACTCACATGCTGAACCAGCTGGGAGACAGCCAGGTAGGGGCTGGACTCTGTCCCTGGGGAGGCCAGGGAGGGGACAGGCTTCAGGCACAGGTGGCGCACCCTCGCCCCACCTGAGACAGAAGTCAACATTAACCCCTCCCCCGGCCGCTGCTCCTCAAGGAGCAGAGCTGGAGGCAGGGCCCCTCTGCAGAAGTCTGGATGCTTCCAAACCCGGACCCTAAAGGAGGACCCCAAGGAGCAGAGGTGGGGGCAAGGGGTCCCCAGACCCTGGTCACTGCCCTACTCTCCTCCAGTGCAAATAATGAGGACAGCCCTGGCTCAGCTGGCCTGGGTCTGTGTAGAGGAGGGTGCGGTGCAGCGGGGGGAGCAAGGACACCAGGACCCAAGGACGCGGCCCCCACTGCCGAGTAGCCCGTGACAGACCAGCAGCGGCCGGGAGGCTGAGCACGTGCTGCAGGCGTGAGATGCAGGCACAAGAGCTGGGCCTCCGTCTCCCTGGGCAGGAAACGGGGATGCTGGGAAGACCAGTTTCAGACCTGTTGGGAACATTAAGGACAGATGTTCGGGGGAGAAACTGGAAATAAAAATACAGGTCTAAGAGTTCATCACCTGGAAACAGGAGCTGAAGCAGGCCCCAGAGAAGCAGAGGTGGGCAGGCTGGTGAGGATGAGGCTGCATTTAGGGAGAAGGAGGGGCGCATCCACAGGAAGGCCCAGGACCCCAATGGAGGGCGCCTCCGAGCCAAGGTCCAGGGAGACGATGGGGCAGTGAGTGAGGAACAAACCGGAAAAGGAAGGGAGGAAGAGAGCGGAGAGCAGAGCCAGAGGGAGACGCTGTCCTGCCCCTCCCCTCCCCTCCCACAGGGGCCCCGGGCTCCTAGGAGAGCCTGAGTCCTGGAAACCACCAGACTGACCCCCCACCAAACTGCCCCCCGTGTGGCATGCCCTTGGAAATAATACCCGCTTGGAACAGGTTGCCCCAAAATAGTTACTGCTGCTTATTGAGTCTACTCACTTTTCATACCGCGTAACCTAGAACTACACATAAATCAGGTTTTTAATTATTCTGTGGCAGAAATGAAAATAAAATTCAACAAATCAATATAAAGTGCACTACTTTCTGCCCCTTTTAACACCACCTTTAATGTGGACTATGCCTCCAAACTCAGCTACTGGTCCATCATTACCTTTTATGTTAACTGGTATCCCCAACAGTAACCACATGTTACTTATCTCTGTGTAAAAGAATAGTAATATTACTTACAAAATTCCAAGAAATATCTTAAGAATATATGCGTACCATTTTTCTACATACCCACAGTATGTTCACTGCATAACTAATATGTTGATCTCAATGTGTGGCTTTTTAAACCTTAGAGTACGTCGGAAGCATCCAGATAAAAATCCAGATTCTAGACAGCCCACAGAGACTTCATTTCAGTAAAACTGGTGTGGGGTTGAGGAACCCACATTTTTAACCAGCACCTGAGATGCTGTGTTAATTCTAAGTCCCAATAAATATCTATTTTATCAGTCATTCTAACTTTACTAGATGGACTTTTAAAATAATAGTGTAAGATCCTCAGAATCATCGAAACAGACCCATTTCCCTTGGAGAAAACAGATGGAAAAGTGACCTCGGTGCAGCTCACCATTCCACTCTTCCTTAAAGACCAATGGATGCATTATTTCTGCACAACCACCCTGCACCCTCTGAACCCTGGCGCGGTGGAAGGGAGGGGTAGTGAGAACGTGGCTGAAAAGCTGCAGGATGGAGGAGGACGCCTAGACTCCCAGCGGCTGCATCCTCCCCTCCCCCCGCGAAAGGACAAGTAGCAACTACACACTCTGTCAGCTTTTCTGCCCGAGACGATGGACAAGCGGGTTCTGGGTAACCGTCTCCAAACGGTGAGAAAGAGGGAAGCTGAGGTTCCTTTCACGAACTAAGATCCTGGAGGAGATGCACGAGAAAATTTCATAAGGGACAAGAATTAATGCTGTAATGCTTTGAATAAACAGAGCCACTTTGTCCCCTGCAGCCTGCAGTCGGTGGGTGAGAACAAATCAGATCGCTTACGAAACTCAACAGCTGGTGTACGCGGTCTTCCTTCAAGGAGGCGAAGGTAGGCAAGTG